TTGCCCTTAACTCAACTAATAAACCTTTGCTTCTTAACAGATGGTTTTCCAGAAATTTTCAAAATATCAACTGAACTGAAATTCTATCATTGATATTCAAATTTGACAATTTACACCTTTTTGTCATGATTAATTATTTGCATTCTTTGTATTTTTTCTAAAAAATCGGAATATTTTTTTCTCAGTATCAATAACTCCGGGTTTCAAACTTTTGTTTGGTACAAGCTAGGAAGTAATCTCAATTTTCTAGATATGACTATTTGAGATGGAAAAATATCTTCATTTACTGGCATATTCGATAAAATAGCGAGAATCAAATCTTTTTGATGCTCCAAAGTTTTTTAAAAAATTGCTCTCGCATTTTGAACTTGTCCTTCAGCCATTCCACTAGACTGAGAATAAGTGGGTGAGCTATAATGTGTTAAAATTCTCATTCTTCAGAGAATAGGTGACCTGAAAATATGTTGAAATTCCCATTCTTTAGAGAATAATATTTGAAGTGATTTGAAAGAACTGTGGACCTCCATCAGATACCACAATCTGTGGTTTATCATGCCTAGCGAAAATAGATTTTATTTTTGTTATTATACAGTTACCACTAATATCTATTGATAATAAATATTTTTCATTTTTCAATTAAAAAATGTCGCACTCAACTTTGTTCCAAAGGTGCCTCAGTATTTCATGAGATATAAGAGGCTCTGATATCTGAGAGTTGAAGTATTTCTGACAAATAAAACAGCTATCTAAGAATTGTTTGACTTAATTAGTCATATTAGGCCAAAAACTGAAAAAGTTGCTAATTTCAAACTTGTTTGTACCCAAATGATTGCAATAAATTTTGTTCAACATTTCTCTTCTCATACCTTGAGGAATTACCAACTGTTGTCCTTTATAAATGGAATCATCAATAATAGTGAGCTCACTTCTATATTTGTAATAAGGACTCATACATTCATTAAATTTCTTGCTATTATTAGACCATCCATTCATAATTTTTATTTCAACTCTGTCATTTGACGGTATAGACTATGTTCATTCCTAATTTCTTGACTTTCAGAATCCGTTATATTTTTCTTTGAAGTTATAAAACTAACCTGAGCTTGTAGTTCATTATCAAAATTATCATCACCTGTATCGTTAATATAAGCTCGCGATAACATATCTGCTATTATATCAACTGTTTTCCTTGTATTCCAAATCAATATCATATTTTTGTATTTGCAGTATCATTCTTTGTAGTCGTGCTGGAAAATTTTTCAGAGATTTCTTGAAAATCGGTATCAGAGGTAAATGATCAGTTTCTACAATTACTTTTTTCCCAAATCTGCAGGGTGGCATTTAAACAAGTGCAAATATTTCGAGCCCTCTGAGAGAGTTCGACGTATACCATCGAATGGCGCCAATAAAAAACATAAGGATCAAAATTAAATTTGGGGCTAGACCCTTTTTTCCACGCAAAGATCTACACTGTAGCAATTGTGACGTCACCTCTGTTGAAATGTCCGTGCGGAAGGCACAATCACGCGGATTCCAATTATTTGAATTGTTTTAAGGTGGCGTACTCGATTTTTTACCTGTTTTTCGTTCAATTTTCGGTATGAAATTTCTCGTCAATATAGAAGAATTAGAAAAAAATCTGATATCATGGGAATATTCATTAGACTGTATCATGTCGATGTGATGAATACATCTTCAAAAAACACCTCTTATATTCACTAAATTTAATCAATCCAAAACAAATAGCTAGCATCTCTTTTTCAATTTGAGCGTGCCTAATTTGAGTGTCTGTTAATGCATTCGAAACGTAGGCACAAGGTAATTTATCTTGAAGTAATATAGATTCCAAACCAGCTTTGGAACTATCTACAGAAATAATTGTATTTTTAGAAACGTAAAAAATGTTTAAAACTGCTAGATATCAATATTATTTTCTTCAAATTTTTGAAAGATTTCTCTTGAGCTGGTCACCATTGAAACATTATATTTATCTTTCATTACTCTCTCAATGGAGTAGTCTCAGTGAACAAATTTTTGATAAATTTACTCAAATAATTCAACATCCCTATGATTCTTCTTTGCATGTCGATCTCGCTAAATTCTTTATAGCATTGACTTTATTCTCATCGATAGGAGAAATTAAATTTTATTTTATCATCTTTTGCTACCCCTATTACTTCTGCAAGTTTAGAACGGCATTTTTGGAAACTGCTAATCAAAAAATCATAAACTAGGGTACTTTTGGAAAGAGAATTGAGCGCCCTTTGAAATAATGTGCATCTTGACGCCCTTTTCACATAAGGTTCTAAGGGCAACATCTACCCACTCCTAGGGGGTTGAACCAAAAGTGCTAAAAATATGCATCTAAAGTGTCCCCATTGATATTGAAATTGACCTATCTTTTCGATTTTCCATATTATTTACTGTAAGGGTGGGAAGTTTTCTAATTGACACTGCATTTTTCGGAAACTGCTCAACAGAAAATGATGAAGTAGGATACCGTTGATAATTGAACGCCCTTCAAAATGATGTGCCACTTGACCCCCTTTCCCTATTGCCCTGTCTTCTTGATTTACTTTTACTGGAAGGAAGATATTGAGGGTGGGAAGTTTTTCAAAATGTCACCATGTACTCACCATCAACTCCTTATCTTTCACTGAAAATTGATAGAAATCTTTGATGAAATACTTCAGGTGCTGACTTTATACCAAAGGGCATCCTCAAAAATTTATATCTAGTTTTATCTAACAATATTTGCTATTATATTCTCGTTTTATTACTTTGTTAAAGTCTTTTGGATCTACACAAACTCTAATGTAACCATCTTGTTATTTCACTAAAACAAGAACATTTACCCAGTCACTGGGGCCATTCACTTTTTCTATTATTTTTCGACTCAAGATTTGCTAAGTAATCTCTCAATTTGGATAGCAACGGTAATGGAACTCTCCTGATAGGATGTATCTACCACTGGAAAAGCATCATCAATTATTTTAATATGAGCTTCACATAAACACCATATATCTGAAAATATTTCTCCATACTGATTTAAAATGGAATCATGACTTGTTTTTTTTAAAAAGGTCATCCATTTTTTGAATAATATTCAGCATTTGACAAGAAGGCAATCCTAAAATTGGTTCTATTCTAGTTTTTACAATGAAGAAATTCATCGGAAATCTGATTTTTTATAAATACAAGAAATATTACAAACACCTAATATCTCGAGTATACGATTTCAATTTCATGTCAGTTTCCATTATTTTTGTTCTCGTAATTCCAACCTGGCTCAACTGTTCTAATGATAATATATTGCACATTGCTCCGGATTCAATTTTCGTTTTCAAATCTATATTATTTATAGAAATATACGTGTACCAAAGGTGGATATATGTATGGTGAAATAGCTTCCTCTTACAAAACCCTAGAAATTTTTGTAGACCTCTGGCCTACTTGATTATGTCGAATTCTATCACCGTAGTAAGGCCGCGCAAAACTAACGCTAGATGGCGCTGTTTCCGAAGTGATTTTGTTACACAATGGTTGTTTTGTTTTGTTGTTTACATTTACATATATTAATTCGTAATTTAAAAACATTGAGAGAAAGTGATTGATTTAATGAAAAAGACGTGAAATTTTCATTATATCTGTGAAGTATATGTGGCATGATGTTCCCTACGCCATCTACAGTCAATCCGGTGCGGCCTTGCTACGGTGTTTCGCGGTCTACACGTTTTGGAAAAAAACAATTGACAAGTGGTTACACCAATCTATTTTCATCATGCGTGTACCATAACTTTGAATTAAATTGTGCCATATTGACAGAACCTATGACAGACGTACAATTTTCACCTGCTTCAATTTCTCTGTATTGCTCCTTAGATGTTTCTAATATCTTGCATAGTTATATTGCTCGATCGAACTCCACAGATGATCATAGTTTTGATGAGTCTGTCTTGTAAATATTCTAACTTGCATTTCTGGGCTTGTTATTTTAGTCTGATAAGGAAATTCTCCAGTGACTGATCAACTTGCTGTCTCATGGTGAAAAACATATATCGTTCATATGAAAGATTTTCTCTGGACAAGAACTGCTGTTCTTATCTCTTTCGGCGGCGGGAATTTCAAAGGTTCGGTAAATTTTGGAGCATTATTTTCCAAAGTAATGTAAGAGCTGGGCACACTGAGTACATTGCGTTATCATCAAGCAGTTAATTTTTTTACTATCTGTACACAAGTTATAAATTATAACAGAAAGTAGACTTCCATGGACCGTGGCGTGTAATACGCCCAGGCCCATAAATAAATGCAAGATACGCCCGACATCATTTTGTGATTTCAGAGTATACGCTACACTGATCTTGGTGAACATTTGGGAATATATGATACTTATTTATGTATCAAGGGCGTAAAATAGGCCTTCAGGGACCGTAGCGTGTAAGTAAGACGCCTAGGTTCATAAATGCAAGATACGCTCGAAATAAAGTACAGTACAGCATTTTATGCACGAACGGAATATTTGATTTTGCATTATGAATACCTCTTTACCTGATTACCTCTCAAGAAAAATAGAAATACATCATGGTTGCAGTGAGGAATATCATTGATGGAATCAAAGTTACCATGGTAATTCAGTCAATTTTTCGAAATTGGAGTAGTCTAATATTTGCTGTCAATTTATGTCATCACAGATAACCTATTTTGGGTTCGATCATATCAGTTGGCATTTCAGAAATATCCAGAGATATTAGATATTGAACCATCATACTAATACTGATGTCCCGCATTATATATACAGAAATGATTATTACGACTTATCTATACGCCTGGCGATAAAGTAATTCGGGGGTGCTAAAGTGCCACTTTACGCCCGGTCGTGAATACAAAAATATTTCTTTAAGTCTGTGGTGATAGTTTATAGCTTAGGTACTGGTCAATTAAAGTTATTTCAAACAAAAAGTACTTACTGCAGTATAATTTATATTTTTTCTCTTTTTCAGTTTTCCTGCTGCCTCAATTTTATTTGTATCTTATATTTTTGGATTAATTGTGTCATGGAATCTTATCAAGTACCGAAAACACACTGGGCTGTACTTACAGAGACTCATCAGCTTTTATCATGGACGGATATCAGGAAAAAACGTTCTCAGACAGTCTTGCAGTATTTGTGACAACTTATCCTGTAGAAGACATCAGCAAAATAAGAGTGCAATCCCGTGGAAATACCTACTTGTGAACCGTGATCTGAACTATTCAGTAGAGCATGTGAGTAATCAACGAAGAATATCCTCCTAACGAGATTTCAACAATGATTGAGATCCACATAATTATGCAACAAATACATTTGAAAAGTACAAATCTGAAGTGAACTAAGTCCATGATTGCGATGAATTGAGATAGACCATCCATAATATTATTCAAAACTCATATTTTTTAGTGCCTAATGAACCAAGTCCTTACTAAGTATTAACAGTATTTAAAACTATCGATGAAGCAGAGCATTAGTGGACCAAGTCCCAGATACAATATTAGTAAATCTGGAATTGTTAGTGAAGAATTAGTTTATGATGAATGAGTTGATTTATAGTATTATAATCTCTAGAGGTCATCAAGTCCTCATTCCAGGTAGTAAAGGATATACTTCAGTCCGTCGGGTGCCAAAGGGAATTAACTAAAAATCAGTGTCTTCTCAAAAATTGTGTTAATTTGTTTCAGGTTGACTTTTTCTCTTCTATATTCATAGAATCTACTCTAGAAAAGTGAACTAAGTCCAATATGAGATGAGAAAAATATTCATAAAGCTGATACTTTTCTATTTTGTGAGATTCGATGATCACATTAATATTCAAGTTACGAATATGGTTCAATCTGAATGAGAACGTTTCCCAAATTAGCGAGGTGAGATCAAAAATTAGTGATAAACAAACAACTTGCTCAGGTTCCATACAGAATTGGCCCAAGAAAGATAGAGAAAAGAAGAAGCCAGAGAGAACAGCCTCAGTGTCCAGTGAAAATAGCCAACGCATTCTTACCAGACAACATTCATTGACAAAGAAAAATTAGTGAATACAATTACTCTTTATACTTCACGATCTTCAATATCTGTCCACAATTATTGTTATCTTTTTTATCTTTTTTATTAATATCATCTTCAATTATTATTATCTCATCACTATTATCATCCTCATGGATTAATACATAAGAGATTTCGATCTAAAGACAATTGAAAGCTTCACTTTGGAAAATACACAAGAGTGCAAAGAAATCTTAGAAATTAATTCCAAAAAAATTGAAAACAATTATGGAATATAGTTAAAGAGATAAGCAAATCATCGAAGAAACAACAAAAAATAATCTCAGTGAAAAACAAATCTGGAGAAGTACTAACGTACGAAAATGATATTGCAAACGAATTCAACACACAATTCGCCAGCGTTGAAAAAACCCTAGCTGAGAAAATTGAAAAAAATCATGACATCTCTATTAAAAGGTATACACAACAAAATTCCTTCGTTTTGCTCCCCACAGATCCGCAAGAGTTGAAATCCACAATAAACGAGCTCAAAAAACATAAATCAGTTGGTTTAGATGGAATAAAATCAGAAATACTTCAATTATTATCTGACCACATCATAGAACCACTGACACATATTTTTAATGAATCTATGAACATGTCAATGGCCATCTACCTTTAAAAACTCTGTTATTATACCGCTATACAAAAACGGAGATAAAACAATAACATCGAATTATCGACCAATTTCATTGATAACTCACCTATCTAAAATATTTGAAAAAATCATTAAAAAGAGATTAACCTCATACACAAACAAGTATAGCATTTTATCCAAAAAACAATTCGGCTTCAGAGAGGAAACGTCTACTCAGGACGCCGTTTTAAATCTAACCGAGGGCATCAACACTGCACTGAATGAAAATAATCCCAGTTTGTGCATATTCATAGATTTATCAAAAGCATTTGATACAATCAGTCATAATCTACTTATCCAATCCTTGGAAGATATTGGCATCCGAAATAACTGCCTCAAATTATTCAAAAGTTATCTCACAAATAGAAATCAAGTTGTTAGAGTGGAAGATGTACTGAGTGAATCAAAAACAATAGAGTATGGGAATCCCGAGGGCACGGTACTAGGACCTATCCTATTCAACATTTATATGAATGGATTGTTCTCACAACAAAGCAAAGGCGAAATTATTGGTTTTGCTGATGATACTGCCATCTTGTATAAAGCTGATAACTGGGATGACCTAAAAATAAAGGCAGAAACAGACTTTGAAATGATAAAAAATTGGTTAGACCACAGGTCGCTAACATTAAACTTAGATAAAACAACATACCTAGCATTCAGTTGCAACAAGACCAAGACTCCCACATTTGATTACTTAGAGGTGAATATAAATGGCAAATCTACACTCATAAAACCTGAAACAAAAATAAAATACTTAGGAATATATATCGATAACCATCTCAGATGGGATTCACATATATCGTATGTTAGAAAAAAACTACAATCTCTACTATACAAGTTCAAGTATCTGAAAACAATCTTACCTATTTCTCAGCTCAAACTGTTGTTCTTTGCCTTGATTGAAAGTCATCTGCGTTACGGCATATTAGTATGGGGTGGTGCAGCAGACACTCATCTGAACCCTCTTGAAGTAGTACAACGACGGCTTCTCAAAATAATATTTTCTAAGGACTCAACATATTCCACAGATCAGCTAATATCGAAGCTAAAATATTCGATATCCGACAACTACATTATTTCGCGTCTAACCTAAAATATCACCAGAACAAAAATATAACACAATTACCATCTCACTACTATAATACCCGACAAAGACATCATTATTCAGTTCCTCGAATGTCGAAAACGCTATGCCAACGAACATATTCATACATTGCTCCAAAGCTATATAATTCAATTCCAGATAAAATCAAAAACATTACCGGAGTTCCACTTTTCAAAAGAGAACTTAAGGAATTCATTTTGAAAAATTCAAGAAGTATGTTTGTTACACGAATTTAGTTGAAAGAATCATTATTTTGTAAAATCTTCTTCTCCACTTCACTTCATTCCTATAATATTTTTCATTACACTTTATAATATAGTACTTTACATTTCATAATTATTCAATCGAGAATGTATTATATCACAGATTATTCCACGCTAATGATGATTATTACCTGTAAAATATCAATTACTATACAATGTGATGCAAATGTATCATACAAAAATACTTTCGCACAAATATAATTCAAATTCTAATATATTTTCATTGTCAATTTCATATTATTTAAGGCATGTATTATTTAAGGTCCTTATCATATTTTTGTTTTCTTCTTCATCTCGAAGCAAATGTTCATTCATTTATCAAGTATGTTCATTTATTCATCAATAATTTCTTTATCATTACTATGTTATGTACTAAATAGAGATTCGATTTGAATAAATGATATTATTATACAAAAAACTCGAATTTAATAATATAGAAATGTATCACTAGAACAACTTCAAATCTCTGTATCTCAAATTGACCAAACATGGACTTTGTTCACTTCAGCTGTGAACCCCTCATTTATGTTTTCGCCATATGTGTAACAAAAAATTCCCTTCTTCATATTTGTGTACAAATTTACAAATCTCTAATTTTTCACGATATTCCATTGATTTTTTCCCTTGACCCTTCCATATTTTCCAAAATATTGGTTAAGGACCTGCTGTGATGTTTTTATACCCTTGACACTTGACATTATATATATCTAGAGTTTTTTCATTCAAAATCTGACATGATATCATCAACCTCTGGGTTAGAGATGGTCTTATTAATCTCCAGAAAGATGAAAGTTTCACAATTGAAAACACTGTTTATATTTTGAAAAATCAAGAAACCTAAGTCTAAGAAAGCAATAAAAATATTCTGATCCAAATATAATAGGCTCAAAGAATAAAAAAGGAATATTGAATAATTGCTGATGGACTGCTAACCTGATCTTTTGTTCCTCCTTTTTGTTTGTTGATTATCCACGCCCACAAATTTTTGAAATGATCTGTTGTTCAGTTCTCCAGATAATTCTAATGTTCCATCCAATGTGAAACACCTTGTATATAATGCATTTGCTGGCAGAGCCTTGACTTTCATTGACAGTTTAGGGTATTATGAGAGGTAGATATCAGTGGATGCAGAAAGAACCGACAAAATTACAATAAAATCTAGCCTTTTGACAGCAGTTTCGACTACAAAAACGATGCTGATATTCTCTTTTTATATGTTTTAACTTTTATTCAATAACAAAACCCCTGTAGAGTGAAAAATATTGTTACGTTATTCGAGTGCAGAAGCGAACACGACACTATATATTTTCGAACTGATTTATTTTAAATAAACAATATAAAATATATCGAACTTATAACTACTATTTATGTAAAATGATTTATATCACGCGGTATATGACTGTCTCTATGACACTCGCTTGGATATCAGATCTTATATTATAACTCAGATCATTTGGCAGGCTTTGCTTCGCGAACGCCCTCGAATGATCTTCCGTACCCTTCTTTTGTTCTAGATGCTCCTAATTGTTCGATCGATTGTTTCGAGAAGATTACAGATTCTTCTGTCAGGTTATGTGTCGCCGTGACACATATTGGGTGTTCGGAATTACGCTGGTACATGTTAGAATCATTGGGATGTTTGAGAGTGATCCGGGACGCGTGTTATTGAGTGATCGTTGTACTCCTGCCTTCCGGATGATGTTATGTAGCCCTGTTGAAAATATTTAGGCAATGACAAATCTTTATTTATGTTGGTAGTATGTTGATACCATGAATTGTCAATGTTAGTTGACACCTGTCAGTAGTCATGTCTTTTGTTTTGTAATAAAAAGAAGAATAGCGTCGTTATGTACAAAAATATATGTAAAAAAATTATTAAGAATTATTCCAAAAAGGAAGACAAAATAAAACACAGTTCACAGTTTCTGGTGCTTTATTAAAACCACTGTTTTACATCAGGTTATGGGCCCAGGCCGTAAAAACCAGAGACAAAGTCTGTGTGCTCATTTTGAATAGTCGCTAATAGGCGCGAAAAAGCAGAGACGCCACGTTTCTTTTCCGGAGTCCAGTTTTAATAAATACGGTAAAATGGAACAGCAAACACCCACACTGAAATTAACTGGTGATAATTGGGTGGTGTGGAAATTTCAAACCACCGTTCTTCTCAAAAGCCGTAGGATATATGACATTGTCACTGGTGCACAAACTAGACCCACAACTGAAGGAGGTGATTTAATAAAATAGGGGATGCCAAAGGGCAAGAGATTCTAGTTACTCGAATGGAACAGGCGCCCCTCACACACATTCTGTCGTGTGAGACATCCAAGGATATGTGGACTAAGTTAAAATCAGTGTATGATAAAGAATCTGTAGTGAGCGTTCATTTACTTCACCAAAGATTCTTCATGCTCGATTTGGAAACAACTCAGTGCTTCGATGAAGAAGAAGAAGGCGAAGTCATATCCTGACTGACGAAGACTCGGCAGATGAAGATGAGGCAGGTCTTGCTGATAATCTCAATGCAAGGCAACTTTCCTCATACGCGGAAGTTGTGTTTTTGAACAAAAAAAGATTGGGAGGACTAGGATATCCTAAATGGACTGTGGTAGAATCAGATCCATGCTGGACACGAGTGTTGGGCTCAGAAAATCCAGATAACAATCGGTGGCGGGAACAATTGGATAATGAAGCACGAAATGATGGAATGCAATTCATATCTACGATAATGAAGCCTTCACATTATAAATTAGATGGGAATAAGGCTGTTTCTCGAATATGCTTTTCCTGAAAGGTGTTAAAGAGAGTGGTAGGAGTATAAGCAAATTGGAGTTCATAAGAAATATCGTTGAGAATATATTTCATTGGTTTCAGACTCATCTGACAAACAAAACGCCAGCAAGGGCCCCAGGAAAATCCTCCATAAGCCGCAGGAAGTGTTTTCTGAGTTGAGTGACGTGAGACTTACGGTCTTTGTCATCATGTATTACCTGTACAGGAAGGGGAAAGATTATGTGGTTGGACCAATTGCACAAGTAGAGGCAAATGCAAGGATTCTGTGTTGATTGTTTCAAGTATTTTTAAACGAACTAGAGCTCGAAAAAAATTATGTAGAAAAAAATTGACTATGTTGTCTTCTTATGCTTCTTTCACTATCCCAAGTATAAAAATGCAGCTATTTCAGGGGCACTGTTAATGACTGGTATAGATTGATTTATTTAAGGTGTTCGACTTTGATCAGTATTCGTGTTTTCGCAGTTGCCTAGGTTTTTAGTGGAACTGACCAGTTTTCAGTGAAATATATATTTTTTGTCTTTAACAAACAGCAACTTTCGTTCAAAATATCACATTTGGATTCTAACTCCTTCACTAATAACTTTTCACGATTTTCATTGTCTTCATCAGTTTCACATTCACTTTCTGATGAATCCTTGGATGCATCGTTTTGCACTTCGTGTCTGCACACAGCACTTTTTGCTTGCGCTGCTTGAATCCAGCACCGAGGATGGGAGATGAGATTACACTTTTTGCACTTAACAGGATGAACAACTGTCTTTTTACAATGTTTGCATTCTCTGCCATCTTGAAGAGTATAGAAACAAGGCCACAGACTTCTTTACATTGTTATAATTAGTGTTGACATGCATCATGTTAACAGAGACTACAGATCAGGTTAATTAAATTTTCAAGAAAATTCGAATTGTAGTTTCAATTGATTATGTAATTGTGTTCGAGTGTTGTTTATTCTTGACGACCTAGTACATCCTTTTTAGTTTCTAGGTGTTAAATTTCAACTTTAGCTCATAGGAACTCAAAGCATCATACCTATTTTTGTGTCAGTAATAGAAACGTCAACTGCAAGAGCTAAATTTGGAATGAAAATGGACGACTTTTGAGTCTGTTGCAGAAAAACTAAAATATTTTTCTCTGGGGGGATACAGATTTTTCAGTGAACATTCATTATGACTCGTTAAATGTTACAAACTTTATGAATAACACATAATTTATTTATTTGTTCCAGTTTTATGAAAGGATTGTTACAAATTTTATATCTTCATGGTATGAACAATTCACGGAAGATGAAGATTTCAAAAGTGAACTGAGATACTGTTTTCGATTTTCAACTGCTACAATAATCAGAAGAATTTTAGAATTGGATATTGGCAAAATTATTACTGATAAGCTCCTACCTTGTGTGGTGAGACATATTGATGATTATCTATACATGCAACAAATAGGAAAGTTGAAAAATGTGAGATTCAATGAAGTTGTATTGGAATATCTGGGTAAAAGATTACATGCTGCTGCAACTAATAGGAATAATGAACTTGGGTATTTGAGGAATATCGCCTCAGCACTTCTACCACATGTCCTTCCAGATGCTTACTTAAAATGCAGGTATGAATGTATTAATATATGTATATTGTTAAAGTCATTCCTTAAACTGTGCTAGTAGATACCTATTTGCGCATACGCACAAGGCCTCTTCATATTTTAAGTATGATTCAAGCAAGTTTCCAAATATAAAAGTTCATCAAAGTAAGTAATACATACAGAACCAAATGTAAAACTTCACAAACGAGATTTCCACGAAATGTAATTACACGACATGTTTCGCTAACACAGTGGCTTCATCAGGTGAAATACTGGTACAATGAAATAAACTAACCTCGGCATGCCTTAACTTATATGGGTTGAGTTATATAAGTTTAGGCAAGCTAAGGTCGTCTCAATAGAAAGACTAGTATGCTCTGCTGTTTTCCACCCGATGGTTGTCAAACGTATCATCCTTGATACCGTAGTTATTGATGATTTTAGATCGCGGCGAACAACAGTTAAATGTTTTGTGATGTCAGTACGGTTCTCCACCAAATTCAATAGGTACCGTTTTGGGAGTTAACTTTGAAATGACAACCTACTACGGATATGAAAAATACGTTCGATTAATATCATCGTAATGAAGGATTATAATATGTTTTCGGAGATTAGCGTCCACGCCTATTCTAATTGATTTATTCAGTTCAACTATTGTTATTCTGAAATGTTGTTAGTCAGTGAATGTATCAGCGCGCCTTCTGATCAATTCCATCGATCTGCAGACATGCTTTGCGCATGCCTTACTTAGAACTATACAGGTTGTTTATCGAATCGTTACATATAGAAGTACTAAAAAAGGATGGCATTTGGCAACATCGCAATCGCTGAGAGATGCGGAGAGCAACGTTCGCCGTTAGGCAGTATTAGGCGCATAATAAATTTCAGTTTTGAATATTTCTAGCGAAGACGTACGATAGCCAAATCATGTTGCCATTCACATGCCCTATGTATATAACGATTCGATAAACCACCTGTATAGCTTACAACTGAGAGACAAAATATTTAATTTTTGTGAACCATAGGTCTCATGGAAGTTCAATAATAGCTGTTGTTTTACAAATTTTCTGACTGACAAAAAAAAATCAGGAAAAAAAAAAAACACAACTGTAGCTTTTCAATTTATACGGCATACTTCGACCGAATTGATGAAAAAATATCGAACAAAAACGAAAAATGATTTCGTACTGGCTATTGCAGTAACATCGTTCAACAAATCAATTTAAATCCAATCCTCCCATATCGGTGTATTATAATGAGTTGGAAAGAGGCTCTATTCGATGAAAAATTCCAGGACCACACTTACTTTTTTTGAAGAGACTTTTCAAAACATGGAAATAAGTACCTAATTCAAAGGAAAACCAATACCTCCTCCCTTATCCTCCCTAGGTACCTACATACGATGTTCGTCGAACATTATAGCAATTTCCTTTCGTGCGCTCAAAGAGATGAAAAAATATAAAAAAATAATTGCTTATGTAAAATATTTTTTCCGAATCAGATATACGTGCCAACTCATACAAATACAAAATGTTGAGGTAATATTGAATATGATCTCATTGCATGTGAGCTCTCTCAAACAACGAATCAAATTTTGGGTATATACCAATTGTTTTCATTATTCTTTGCAAAAGAAGGCTGTGATGTAGGGATGTATGAAAATGGATTGAAATAGGTATTATCTCTTAACAGAATGGGGCACCTCCACATTACTCAAAACAAGTTAGAGAATACCAAGACAAACAATTCTCTAATCGCTGGATTGGTCGTGGCGGCCCTCATTCTTGCTCCCCTCGGTCCCATCTCACAGCATTGGACTATTATCTATGGGGACCTAAAATACGATTGGTCTATCAGACTGAGGTCAACACCAGAGAGGAACTGACAGAGAGGATTGTTACAGCTTCAGATATGATCAGAAATAATAGGCAAATTATTCTAAAAACCATAAGAGATCTTCCGAAGATATACAGAAAATGTATATAAATTGGAGGACATTTTGAGGATTTTCCTTGAAAAATATTAGGATACAGACAAATCTTTTTCGAGAATTATGTTTTGTAATTTTTTCCCTATTGCTATGAATGTAGTGGGTAATGGCTTGGACGAAATTGAAGAAATTTCATCTGAATTTTGTTTTATATTTGTCCACCAATCCGGTCGAAGTGTGCCGTACAATATAAAAAGCTACACTTGTAGTGTTTCCTGATCTTTCTGATTCTGATGAAAGTTTTTGAAAAATGCGATTCAGAAAGTCGAAATTTTGAGATTTGAAAACAAAATGAGCTTTCTAAGTCCGGCTCTGGAATATTTCTTCCATAGATCACCGTGAGGGGTGTCAGTAGAGGTAGATTACTGGTTAATTTCAAGCAAAAACATCGAGACGTTCCTGAAATAACGTTCATCAAAGTTTCGCCTTGAATTCAAATAATGCCCTGTATTTCTGTTACGAATAGGCAGAATATATTTTTTTACATATTATATATCAACTCACCCTGATTATCTCTATCCACCATTGGGCTATGGCTGGTTAGTCATGACTCACCCTTTATATGTTTAATACATAAATCTGTGTTGTTTTCTTTCAGGAATTACTCTGTGATAATGCGGGAAATTTTGTCTGGATGGGTTTTTCTCCCTCTTATGGATGTTCTGGCTGATCCGAACATCATCAACTCTCTAGTTATTTTGACGACAACGTATAAACCGAAAAAAACTTTTAAAATCAGTAGAGATGGTGACTATGTGGAATTCTTGTACAGCAACGTTAACATTAATCGAAAGTCATCTTCATTTGCCATGACCTTGAATAAGATTAAAAATAAACCTGATTTGCTGTATGCTTTCATGCAGTTTTTGAAGAAATATGATCATGTGAATATGTTGCAGTTCTGCTTAGATGTTGGTAAGGATTCCAATACATTTCAAATCAACTAACCTTCTACACCACTAACCAAACCGAAAAAGCGTTTTGTTTAGTGGTAAAACATTGTAGTGTGATTATCGAGCCAAGGGTACCAGTCTTCAATATATCAAATCAAATATTTCGAGATTGTATTAATTTTATTTTGTCTAGACATCAAACTTCTAATAATTTCAAGAAATATGTCAATCTTTTCAGATGATTTCAACTTCAAACTCCTAATGCCAGATCTGTCAAAAAAACAGCTAGATGAATTACATTCGGATGCACAGAAATTATATGGAGAATATTTATTCAGAGGTAGTTTTAGTTTCATCAATTGCCCTTCTGAAATCTCAGAAGCCTTTCAGTTTGCAATGAAGAATCCGGAAGAATTGTTAGATCTTTCAAAACTTCTATATACCGCATACGACCATACATTCAATAGTTTAGAATGTGAATGGTTGCCCCAATTTTTCCATAGCAATGAAGTAGGAATGATTAGAGGTTATATTTCAACTTTTTCTATACATATTTTTTGCAGTTCTATGGATATATTTGTGGATCAAGAATAATCTCAACATATACCAAGCAACTATCGAATAAGTATGTAGATCATTAATTATATTCCTTTATTCTTTTCACTACTTTGAAATGTTCTAATCAAATTTTCATCAACCTTCAGATCTTCGTTTGGTTCACCAATAAAAGACAGGTGAGTATGTCGATACATACATTTGTATTCCTTACACCCGACTTGAATAGATAATTTCGTATCACTAAATTAAATTAAAAATCAATATTGTCTGGAATTCTGGCTACATGATTATTGGATCTGAACTTTAACAATATATTCCTGAGATCCATTTATCAATTCTATTATTTCGCCAACTTCATAGGAATAGAAAAGAAATATCATATAAGTTTCTACTTATATTGTGTGAATATGTGAGAAATAATATGCAGTGCTTAGGAAATTTATCCATTTCAGTTGCGAATTAGTTGAAAAAAGGTTTAGAGGGTGGTACTCAAGCGAGTGTGAGAAATTAACGAAACACAGATTTGTCCAGTATGTTGTGAGTGGTTGTCGGTGAACAAATATATCTTTGTACTTGTTTGACAACCACCATAAAACCTGTCAATCTTCATGATCATCACCAACTGAATATTAAATAGTCAGGCGCGAATACCAGGGGGGTAATGGGTAACCAAATTTTCCCCGACTGCGATGCCTTCAAAAGAAAATAAAAATGTAAAAAACCTATTTTCACAAAATAAAATTTATTCTTGTACGAAACGTATCTATAGTTTTGGCTGAAATTTTTACTTTTTGGTGAACGAATTACTTCAAAATATGTCTGAATAACTTTCAAATTACAGGAATTTGACCTTGAAAAGAAAAAATTCTTTTGCTGCGCTTTTCTATATAACTTATTTCATTCCTCTTCGAGACATATTTCTTCTAGATCTGCGCCTGTGAATAATACTCTAAAAAAATGAATGAATATATCAATTGTTCATGAACTGTCAACAACTTGATTGCTAAGGAAAATCAGAGATGGTTTTTTGATATACCAGGTAACCCGGAACCAATTTACCCTCCTGAATCTTCGTTTCCATTTTGAATGGATGTTTCAAATTTGGTACAACGATTTGATTGCATGAGTGTATGATTTTGCTAGTATTAGACAAACTATTGCACTTCCGGTTCAACCGAAAGTGCATACAAATCTTGTATTCTAAATACAAAGTATAATTTTTTTTCTGGAAATTACGGTTCAGGATGAAATTACCTTTCCAACGATATATCACAATCATACTTTCAATCCATAATCTAGTCATATAATTGAGATTTTACACAAAAAAAAATACTTTTTGTATTGCTCTCCTAATAGAATATATTCATGAAAGTGTGCTATGGGTAACGAAACAGTAGCACGCGAGTAACAATAATTCCATGTCAAAGTGATTACACTATAACTTTTATGCACGCTAACTATTTTTTACAATTTCCGTTTTTCTTTATTTTCAACACCAATGAACTAATTTTTTCCAAATGCTATCATAGAATTCTCTGAAGTTAGCTAGAAACTCCCATACAAATTGAAATATTTATATGATTAGATTGTAGATTTAAAGTATGCTTGTGATATATCATTGGAAAGGTGAGTATATAATTCTGTGACTCGCATTCAATTGTTCATATCGAGAGTTAGTCTGACAAAACAAATGAAGAGTAGGAAGAATCGCTGAGATATAGGGAGGGGGTCGTTCAAAGTGTGTAATGAAAATGTATTGTAGAATACGTAACAAATGGACTGTTTTGTGTCCATGGCTCATGCATTAGTTAAAACCATATAATCCACTAAACTGTGTATTTGAGTCAAGTGCATATTTTCTGTACACAATATGACGTGTCAGGAGCTTCTTCACCTACAAAATCTTGAAACAACCGTATAATAGAGTCCTTTTATTCGAAATTGGCTCCTGAAACACACAACACTTCCTTCAATGAATACATTCTTATGTTTAATAGTTATTCTAATTGATATTTCATTCAGGTGCGAATGAGCATTTCATCAAATTTCAGATCGAAAAAATATGATTCGTCAAACCAAGGCAGTTCCAAAATTAGTTCTGGCCTTGGAAAAATCAAAGGCGTATTGAAACCAACTCAGCCTATAGAAGGGTCTTTCTTTCCTGTAGATTCTCAAGGCATCGAGAATGGTATTGCAGAAGATATATTTCTAGGAGATTGTAACAGTCTCTTCAGAGATCTTAGTACTTGGAAAGTGTCGATACCCACTTATCAAGTGAGTTGAATTAAAACAAATATATGATCAATTTTCTCATTTGCCCTGTGTACCTCTGTTTTTTATCTTTATTTTTTACGACTTACTCAAATCTATATTCTTTTACTCAAATAGACATCGTAATTATTCATATAATTTGTCATATACGAGGCCGAATGCCGAGTTTAGTAACCCATCCATTATCGTTAGTACAATACTTGACCTACTACTAAAAACGTTTAGTATTCATTCAAAAATAGTTGATATTCCTTTTATCAACGATTTATTAGGAATATGTAACAAACAAGCGTTGCAATGGTTGGGCGTATTCTTGTCGTGAATCTATGATGTCCTCGATTGTCACTCATTCTGCAAACTGTCAACTTTGACGCGCTCATTTCAATTTGAAAAAAAAAAGTATCACATGAATTCCGTTCACGATGGTTAAGATTCAGATATAGAAATTGCGGCAAATGAAGCAGTTCAAACTTCAGTACCTGCTATATTTTTGATCAATTAGTTCTTATTTCTATTTTATTAATAAAAAACTGTTTTTTTTTTACTTTACCGCGCTATTGCGTGATGTGTGATGTCATTACGAAACTAAAGTCAGTCGTAATGTATCACATCACATATTAGTAGTAGGTGAATAAATAAATGATTATCCATTTTCTATTCATCATAGGTAGTATCAACTGTAACGGTGAAAACAAAATTCGGTTTTTGGATATTCTCGAATCATCTCATCGAATCACGAAGGAATATATCGATGAATAGTGAACGCGAAATTTTTGTAAATATATGTTAATTGACATGCAAGAGTATTATCAAAATTTGTGAAAATCTGTCGAACAGTTCTTGAGAAGGTCCTAAAATGAAATATGAAATGAAACATATTTTTTATAAGTTAGATTTTCGGAAGTGAACTGAAGACTTGATTCTCCATTATACTTTCATTATTATTTCGAATTTGTTCATAGAAATAACTAATATAATCTCTATTCAATTCATATTTAATGTTGACTATAATCTTAAGAGTTCCTTTTACTCAAATACGTTGATAGAATCGCATTTAACTCATATTTAACTTGGGACCGATCGCATAAACCATTTGATAGACGATTATAATATTTGATTTGTCAAATATTTATCTGCTGATGAATTAGGAGAAATGATTCCACGTTGACTCAGCAGGGAGCATTATGCAACTGGTCCTTAGTCAATTTCTTATGGGAAATATAGCTGTTGAGTTAATACTCCAAGTGAATTGGAAATACATAATTTTTATGAATAGGATACTTTTACATTTCCACTATAATACTTTGATCGTTCATTTTAGGCCAGTCCTTCGAATAAAGCTATATACTTTTATGTTCATATCGAATGTTCCGATTTGCTCGCACGAGATAGTAGAAAAAATTGGTTTGTATTAAGAAAAGATCAGGACTTTTACACATTAAAATCCAAACTGGTGGAATTTCACGGAGAAACTGAAATTTGTGATTCTCCACTGCCATCCAGAAAGTAATATTATCTTATATCAAATCGTAGAAGAGTACCTAAGTATTGATCTTTACAGAACTGGATCGTCGATTGAAACCAGGATAACAAAATATGAGGAGTTTCTGAAGAAACTTCTTCTGAAATCTACTTTGAAAGGCAGTGACTTACTGTATTATTTCCTTACTACTGAAGAAGATTTCACGATATATATTGCTCAAAATGCTACAAATATTCAAGATATTGGAAATATTTACCAATCTGTTGCCTATAAACTGAGAAAAGAGAAGGGTCAATATTTGGACTCCTTTATGATGTCTTTTTTGAACTCGACAGGAATACAAAAAAATGAGTAAGACAATTTTGTTTATCGTCTTGGATAACACGGGGTTGACATATCCCATATAAACAATAACCATTTTTTCCAGCTCAAGTTCCAGAACATGTCATTATATGTATTCTGACCTGATAAATCGTTTTTCTTCAATAACATTTACATTCCTATACCAGTTAATAATGAAATTAATTGATATCAACTATCCTCTCTAAAATGCTCCGAATTTTATTCTCATGTGAAATGTCAGTCACAAAAAAGTCAGGATTTCAGGTCAAAACACCATAATGTTTCATCAATTCCTCGAAATCGATTGAATTTATCAAGTAAAATAGGTACCTACTTTAGGTGTCGTCATATCTGCCTTATTTAACATAAAAAAGTTATAGTCAAAAAAGTCATCTCAATTAACATGTGGAGCGCCACCTCACCACCTCGTAGGAAATATCATCTTGATATTTGTGAGCTCGAAAATCCCCAATTACCAAAATTTCATTGATATCTGCGATGCGGATAGAGTGTAATATCCCAAAATATTTAATGGAATACCTTAACTGCTGAAGCATCTCAGAAACTAACATAAATCGTCTTAGAAAAAAATGTCTTCTTTACCTAAATATGTAATTACTATTCTAAATTGTTTCTTACGTTGGGAAGGTGAATTCAAATTTTGAAAACTGGCTTCAGAATTCAACTAGGACCATTCTAACGATTGTAGGAAAATGTTTATAATATTTGCGGATGAGCTATTCCAAAAATAATACGGCGTTGTACTTGTCCTGCTCCTTCGTTTCGAAATCGATATCTTTCAGCAATTGTTATAAAAATGAATATTTTGACATTAATTTTCATGTGCATTATAAACTGTATGATTTTTCAGAAAATTGGAATTGACTGAGGTGGGAGAGGAAATTGGTTCATTCTCCATTTCATCTCAAATGCATTCGCCGAAAACTTATCGAAATCATATTTTCAATGATAACTTTGGAGTTCAGTATAATTGCTTGAAAACTGCTAATGGTGAATCATTCACTCCAGAAGGAATAGGAGACAGTGCATTTTATCTCTGTAAGTATGTCAAACAATCACATGTAGGTCAAATAAAATATTTCACTTTTTTTAGTGAAACACATCTTCAAGATTCCTAATGGTATCCTGAAATTATATGCATCAATATGTAGTGTTGCCCAATACGTTGTTGAAATGACTAGTAGACTATTTATTGAACGAACAATTAAATCTAATCTTAGCCAATCAAATTTGGCTCATCTCATTAAATTGTTGGAAGGTGAGTTATTCGAAATGTACACGAAAAAACATATAATTAATTAAATCGTGAAAATCATCCATATCTTAAAGTGGTCCAATAAAATTTCAAAAGAAAAACAAAAGACTCAAAGTCAGTCGACCACACATTTATATAACATCTATATCGTCAAAAACATGTTACCGGTTTCGGCACAACGGCCATCATCAGACAAAAAGTACCTGTAAATATAAATTAGATAATACAGTATGAAGAAAGAAGAAATACAAAACCTACCGACAAAATTATGAGCACACTATAACATCATTAAAAATTAAGTTGAAAAAGAAAAATCATGTTGTATGGCAGGAGATTCATCACCGGGTTTTCAGGCTCAGGCCTTCTTCCTCCCTTTTTCTTCCCCTTTTTTCTTCCTTCTTAGGTTACTTACTTTCTTAGTTCTGTTGTTAGTCTATAACCTTCACTCTTGTTTGTTGTTCCATGTACAACTGTCATATGTCAAAGTCTTTGTCGACCGTCAAATTCTTTTATTTCTTTGTCTTATGCTGATATGTTGCTTTTAGCTTAGCATGATATCAATTTTATAAAAAATAATTTTTTGGATAAGATGTTCAACCTTATCAGAGCCAGTTTTTTCTGGTTCTTCAGTAAATTGAAAATGGTCATTTGTGCCTGAGCCTGAAAACCCGGTGATGAATCTCCTGCCATACAACATGATTTTTCTTTTTCAACTTAATTTTGAATGATGTTATAGTGTGCCCATAATTTTGTCGGTAGGTTTTGTATTTCTTCTTTCTTCATACTGTATTATCTAATTTATATTTACAGGTACTTTTTGTCTGATGATGGCCGTTGTGCCGAAACCGGTAACATGTTTTTGACGATATAGATGTTATATAAATGTGTGGTCGACTGACTTTGAGTCTTTTGTTTTTCTTTTGATATAATTAATTGATTGAAATTTCAGATATTGTTTTCAATCCCCATGTATCCCCAACAAAAGATGAATTGAAGAAGAGGCAAATAAGAGCTTTCCAGGAATTGAATAATTCAATACCTACTAAAGTTACAAAAATTTTTGGTAATGGTGTTAAAGATGGATCCTCGGCTTTGTTGGAAGTAATGCAACATCCACATTTCAATAAACAGGTTGGTAAATACTGTCTGTAGGTTAATCGAGGAGGTGGTACATTCATTTTGCTTGATTTTTTGGGATTTTCTCTCCTCGTTTCTATAAAATAAAAATATGCGTATATTTCAATGTATTTGTAGTGGGACAAATCAGATGATTTGACCCAAAATATAAGCAGCACAACTTCGAAAGAGGAATATTCTGCATTTTCATGTTGAGAACGGGGGCAGATTCGGTCCCGAAACGTCCAAAGATGAATACAAATTCGATATTTTTTCAATATATCTATTTTTCTTTCCTTCAAACATCATTTCAAACATATTGTCAGTGACAAGCTACTGGATTTTTCTTTTAGGCTCCCCGATAGAAATTTTTTTTAACGCAGTGACATCTTGGAGCAAATCATCTGATTTGCCCCACTACAAATATATTGAAATAATACGCATATTTTCATTTTATAAAAACGAGAGAAAATCCCAAAAAAAAAACAAGTAAAAAGGTTGGTAAATGTTCGCACGTCTTCTGGAAATTTTTAATAAAATCAGGTATTGACCAAAAACAATGAACTGAAGTGCCACTTCTCAAAAAAATTTCATTTTGGCAAACAAATGCTAGCCAGTCGACTTAATCTCACAAAGTGTACCCGACTAGCTGCTTCCACATGGTCAGAATGATTCTCGGTCAGTAAGTGGACAGTTCTAAGACCGAGGATTCCAATACAATTGCTGTATAAGGTCATCTCGGTTCCTGAGTTCCAGTGTGTACCCGGTAAATAAATAACATCTTGAAATTGTCTGAAAGAATATTTTTTAATTAGTCGGTTCAGGCATTGAACATATTGTATTGTGTTCATCAGAAGTAAATTGAAAATATTTTGCTGTATTCTGAAGAGGAAAATCATTCTTCGGAAAAATTGTGAATAATTTTTTGACAAAATACAGATGAAAGTGATCAGAAGACTGCGATAAAGATAATTCATGAACTGATCGATTTATCCACGAATCCGGAGAAGGGGAACGCCTCAGTGTTTCAAGAAGTAGTGATTTATTTGAATTAGAGGAAGATATAGAGGTCTTCCAATGTTCAATATACCCAGGTGAATTAAGAAAGTAAAATTGATTTAGCAAACTATACGAAAGATCATGTTATGGATGTTATTTCAGATATCCAATTACGAATAGATGAAAATGATCAATGTGGTTTATTGGCATTAGATCTATGCAAAGCTTTTGATACTGTCAACCATAACATTTTATTGAATAAATTATTTGTAGTTGGTGTCAGAGGAAGAATTCATGATTGGTTCAAAAATTATCTATCGAATAGAAAACAATATGTTGAAGTGAGTGGTACTTGTAGCTCCTTAATGAACATCTCATGCGGTGTACCGCAAGGGTTAGTCTTGGGACCAGTTTTATTTTTAATCTACATAAATTCAATATCAGACTTGGAATTGAGAGGAAAACTCAAATTATTTGCAGATGACACGACATTGATTTATTTCTCTAAAGATTCAAATAATATTATCATGGACATGAAAAGTGATTTAGAGAAAATATCCTCTTGGTTACAAGTTCATAAACTATCTCTCAATTATAACAAATCCTCATATATGTACATAGCAAAAAGAACACTGAACATTTCAAATAGAACACTATCCTTCAACAATAAACTCATCAAAATTTTTAGGTCTTTATATTGATCAACGACTATTGTGGAATAAACATATAGATCATTTGAGAAACAAACTTAATCCCATTACAGGCATTTTATTCAAAATACGAAATTTCATTTCTACTAGATACTTGAAAAGTATTTATTTCTCTCTTATTTACTCAAAATTTCAATACCTAATATCTATATGGGGAAGTACCAATATTTCACGTTTGAGTCCACTAATGAAATTACAAAATAAAACATTGGAGTGTATTTTCAATTTAAATTTTCTCGAACCAACCATGAATTTATACAAACCTAGAGATTTATTAGATCTGACATCACTATATAAACTTAAAATATATTGTTTTATTCAATGTGTCCTATATAAATTGAAAATTTCGAATTTAAATTTCAATGAAATCAATTCATTACATAATCATGGAACAAGACAATGAAATTCACTAATAGCAAATACGTCTAAGTCAAATATCGTCAAACAATCCATTTTTCACACAGGAATCGTTCTATACAACTCATTACCAAGTCAATTGAGGAATATACAGGAAGCAACTAGATTCAAAATTAACTTGAAAAAATATCTGCTTCAGAGACTTTGATAATTCCATTTCTTATTTGAATACTCACTTATGAAAGACAAGGTTGATATTGCATGATTATTTGCATTTTTTTTTACTTGTTATATCTTATTATATCTTATTATAATTTCATAATTGTATGTATAACATTATGTATATTGTTTATGTATCCCTATTATAAACAACTATGTTTCTTGGGTTAATAAAGACAATCAATATCCAATCAATCAATATCCAAATTGAAAAGAACATTGAAGTTATGAATGACAAAAATGAAATCACCCAGACTGAGTTATGCCGATATCATCAACAAGGATGTGGATGGAAAAAAGACGAGCAAACATTCACTTTGAAACCTGAATGCCATCAGTCTTCACAGAATACCAAGAGAAATCTTAACAAAATATAAACATTGGAAATTAATAGTTTGAATATATTCGATTAAAAAATGCGTATCGACAATCTATTATTCAAGTGAAAAAAGAAGGAAGATGTTACGAAAATGCACCGTTGAGGCGTGAGAGGGCGATGAAGAACACATTTATTTCCAGATTTTCTCCCAATATTTCGGAATCCTTGAAAGGTACAGCTCTCAAATATGTAGGGATTTACCTACTATAGTGAATGAGCATGGAAAGCATGTCGTACCAATTTAATTAGTTAGGTATTTCGCATTATCTTTGATAAAACTCAATGTAACTTTTTTGGAGTACGGCACCGACCACATTTTGATATTTCAAAGAATGACAAAATCAATTATCTCACTTTTTTTAACTTCAGTTTTTTTTATGAATCTCCTTCGTTTTCGAGATAAATAACAAAATTAATTTTGGTGCTTCTCCATACTACTAGTTTATGATGTTGGAATTATCATGTTTTGCTGTTTTCTATCTCATTTGTGTTGTCATTGAACACAATGATTATGTTCACCAATTGGCAAACTGTTCATCATATGATTTGGGAGCTGGTCATTTCCAAATTTCAGTACATGAACATGGTTATTGTGGTCAATAACTCAACAGAAATGGGGTAAAAACTTTCAAAACATGATAATCGTTATAATCATAAACAAGTATAGAGGAGCATCAAACTTAATTTTGTTAGATATCTTGAAAACCAAAAAAAATATATAAAAACACTGCAGTTTGAAAAATGTGGGATAATTGATTTTGTAACACATCAGAATATCGAAATGTGGTCAGTGCCGTACTGAAAAAAAAATTAAATTAAATGTTATCAAAGAAACTGCAAAATACCTAACTCCCTGTATATTGATTGAATTGGTACGACATGTTTTCCATGTACATTCACTATAGTGAATTGCCCTACGAATTTCAAAGTAGTACCTTTCAATGATTTCGAAATATTGAAGTGAATCTGGAAATGAAGTTATCGCCCTCTCACGGCTCAAAAGTACATTTTCATGCACGTTCAGTGGATGCACGATTCCGGATAAGTATTGAACGTTCAGTTTCATGCGTCAGTGGATGTACAATTTTTGACATGAGCATCAAAATTTCGATATTTGTGAATATCAGTACTAGTTGTACGTTTGTGTACGTCCAGTGGAAGTAAGATTCCTTATATGCATTGTACGTTTTATGGATGTCCATTGGACGTTTCCGTGTATTCAATGTTTCAAGTTCATAGTTGCTAATTTAATTCTTATAGTTTAGTTGAATCCATTAACCCAGCATTATTGAGAGCGCGTTTGGAGATATTTGTGAAGTTAAGCTATATTTTCATGCAAATATAAACAATTATAATTCCTTATGAAATCTAACAAAAACTCATTGAATATTTCAAGATAATTCATGTAGACTTTGAAGACTTATTCTTTCGGGAAGTGAATTGAGATTGAATAAAAGTCAACTTTCACAGGAATGTTTAGGTAGAGGTTCTTGCAAAAAGATGAATTAATTGTTAAATTTTCGACAATAATTTTCGATAGAAAATGGTAATTTAACTAATTATAAGTAATCTCATTTTTTTGTTTTTTTCAGCTAGCTTATAACTTATTAGATATTGTTCTCTTAGAAATATACCCAACACTAGCTAAGGACGAAGGCTAAATGGACAGAAACTCATCACTCAATAATGGAGCACCAACTGAATGAAATGAATATAATATTTCAGAATACTTATGCACATCAGAAACTAGATCAACAAAAAAGTGGAAATCATTACCTAGTTAATTTTGGACATGAATAAAGTTTGAAATTTATTACCAATACCTGATTTTGTCTTTAATAGTAAGTATATTGTTTTCAGAGTGACGAAACATAATTTTTCAATCGAGATAACAGTTTGTTCATGCTTATGCATAAAGCTATAAAATATTGAAGAAGTTCAAATACATTTTTTCCACAGAGTGGCTTAATGATTTTAATTTTCATTGTATATGTCAATATCATGAAAGAAATAATGCTATTTGAAATTAATAAATTCTTACTATATGTACTTACCCGATACGAAAATATTTCTGGTTTCACTTGTTGAAAAAGATCGAACCATCCATATTCAATAAATATTTTTGATGTAATCAAAACATCAGGATCAGTTTATTTATCTCAAAAACATACAAATAAATTCAATCAACACAGACCAAAGACAAATGCATAGGTATCGGACTAGTCTCAAAAAAACATGAGACATAAATACACTTTAAAATTGATATTCAAATACATTTTAAATTCCAAAAGTTGAAGTTGGTAGGTCCCTAAGTTTTAAAAATATGTTCGGTTAATAAATGTTTTGTTTTTGAAGGACATTACAATCTACTGACTAGGGAGAAATAAACACTTTATCTATTCAGTGTTGGTTCATATCAGGAATTGAATCACAAGCTTTGAGTCGAAATTGAATTGTGTTCATTTTGATCAGTGAAAAATCACTTTTGCTTCCAAACAGTACAACATAACTGTAATGAAAGACTTCACAAAATAGGAAAACATTCGAAAATAAAACCATCAATAATTATTTTCTCTTTATTAACTCACATATTAAAATAATTTGAGTTCACAATTAATCTTGTGATATAATATATATAACATCATTATCATGTTTAAACCTAGCTCACTGATGGTTCAGTTCCGAAATATCTATCTCCAAAATTACCAATTCCTGGTAAAACATAAAATTTATCATTTATTTCTGGATCAATTGCTGTTGTCACAATCTGTACTTTGGGAAAAGCATAGGCAATTGACTGTACTCCAGATTCGGCCATTAAGAGGGAAACGATGAGGATATTGGTTTCTAGAACATCATGATCCAATAAAACTCGTATTGCCATCATGGCTGCTGCACCTGTGGCTACTGTGGCATCCATGAGGATCACTTTGTAGTCTTTGATATCTTTAGGCAGCCTTAAGTAGTAAAGCTGAAAATTAAAATTGATTCAGAACATTTTTGATAAATATATAGTATCAAATTTTAAAAAATTTCTAGCAAATATAATGACTCAATTAAATTATGACAGCACCAGCAGTTACTTATCCACTATAATTTTTCAGGGAGTGGGGGTAAATGAGATAAATTTCTAATAATCACTGGTTTATTCCATATAACAGCTTTCAAGTAGTAGTTCTTGGGGATACTTCCATTGGCAAAGAATTCCAAAGCTTCGCCGTTCTATAGACGCACGAGTTTTGGTTTGGAGTGTTGTTCGACATTTTTCAAGGTTATCGACGAAGGAATGTGCTGACTGGGCTTGTCGAGTTCGTCTAACTGGTGTAATAATAATTGGTGCATAGGAACTAATCAACTATTGCTTAAAATGATGAACTGAGTGCACTGAACAATTTATATGTACATCTCAACGAAGATATCCGTCAAAATGTATATGTGAATATTTGACGATGGACAATGAAATGAATTAGGGACAAATTGAAGCGAAAATTAGAATATCGAAGATCATCAATCCCAACTTCCAAAATTGTAGTTGTTTTCTGTTGAATAAACCGAGAGAGAATTGATATTTTCATCACATAGAGAATGTGAACTCTCAATGTATTTTTTTATATACATAACCATTTTTTATGTTCATAATTTTATCTGAAAATATTCCTTTTCAATATTGAGTAATCAAGTTCCAATTCACATTATTGAAGTGGTTTATTCAGCACGTGTTGCTTAGACAGAAATACTTCTTGTGACAATTCTAAGGCTCCTCCACTAGTTATACATATTATGCAAATAAAGACAGGTAGGTAGTAGATACCTCAAAAAACTGTAAAATCTTCACGAACAATAAAATTTCCACAAAATGTTTAATTACACAGTAGCTTCTTCAGGTGAAATACTACTTTTCCACCCAAAAGGGTTAAGACACCTGTGGAATGGTACAGTAAACCTTCCTTATCGGAAAGCGGGCACAATATCTACATTAAAATGCGATGTACTGGATCAACTTAACTTCCAGAGTTGATACTGTGAATCATGAAATTTTCTTGAATTAATGTTGGTCTAAGAGGTCCTGTCTACGACTGATTTCAAAACCGGAGCGATGTGGGTGGCTTGAAAACTTCGCGGTTTTCCCATGAATTCACTTCACTTGTATTTTATATGTAAGATAATAATCATAGTGAGGAAAAATCATCAATGATGTACGAAAAAAACTTCAAACTGTTCAAAAAGTTCTTGTTCGGACGCGCTTTGGTAACAAAGGTTCCTGCATTCTAGAAATCCCTGATTGCGGTTCCACCTCCATTACTACAGGATGCTTCGCATGGTTCCATAATAGAGCCACAGGCTACTCAACAATCAGAATAGCATCTCTCGCGCGGGAGTGGATTCGCGCATTTGAACGGCGCAGGTTGTCGGCCATCTTCCTGGGTTACTTGTTTACATGTTCATCGGATTCTCAGCTGTGGAATGAACGTGTGAAATATTCAGATATTTAAGTACATATTCTATTTTTTCTGTGTTGTGTTGTTGTTTGGGTTGTACTGTTCGAATAAGTTTTGATGCCTACCTAATTTGGTTGTGAATGAGAAGACAATTACAGATTCTGTATCTGCTTCATCTGTAATGGGGAAGACCACTGAGGGAAGAAATCCCTGCAAACCTCTTTCAATCGACGAATCCTGATTTACATTTTATGTACAATCAATATTATGAGTTGAAGTTGAAGGGAATCGAATCTATATCGTTTTGAAATCAGCATATTTCATTCGATATTTCAAACAGCCAAATATGATGGTGGAGTCGTGACGTATTAGTCCCGAACTGTAGCTATCTCTTTCTGATACCTCGTCATTCTGCAGTGTTGCAGTGTAATTGGTCGGTTCAAGGACAATAGGCGTGTTGGCACTAAGACGTCGCACCAGTCACACCAATGAATTGATAAAATTTCAAATGGCGCAGGAATTGTGTGTTTTGAAATGGACATATACTAATTTATTTTTTTCATCGTCTTAGCATGAATGAAAAAATTCAAAATTAATTCACTGGTAGTTTTTCAGTAGAGAGTTCACGATGATGTCGTTTTAAAAAATCAGTGGTCTTCCCCATTGTAGACCATGAGTGCTCAAAAAACTCAGAGGTGGTCTTGTGTATTGACCATACAAAAATGCAATTGAGAAAAAAAAATAGTTTAATTGTTTCAAAAAACAACTTGAAAAAATATTCTAATGAAAACCTGGTCAAATCTATCAATTTAAGTTTTCAGAAATGTTTATCTTCAAACCTGTCCTACTACAAATGAAAGTTAGCTTCTGTAAACTGGTTTTCATTGAATCAAGTGTCAGTGTAATTTTGTAAGAATTGAATGTAATTATGAACAAAAAAAAATGGACATATATATAAATAAATACATTGAGAATTCGCATTCTCTATGTGATGAAAATGTCAATTCCTTCTCGGTTCATTCAACAAAAAACAACTACGTTTCTGGCTGAATGCCACGACGATCATTGAATTATATCTATGGAACACACGCGATAAGAATTATTGAAGAAAATCTTCTGAAGAAGAGAATTTCATGTAAGGATGAGCAGATTCGTGATAAGGTTTTGTCAATTCAGAATTTCCTTTCGCATCCTGTATGATAAATATCAATTTATCATACATTTAAAAAAAAATAATTTATTTTACTGGTATCAATAAATGAGACACAAAATGAATAAATTCAGTTAGTTCAATCCTGTCATTTCAATCCTGTCATTTAATTCAGAACGGCCCTGCTTGCTAACCCGAGAACATGGCGGATCCCAGAAAACAGATCCTAAAATATCGAAGGCGCCGACCAGAGAAGCACTTCGGATTGTTGAGTATTCTGTGATAGAGCAGTATAGCCCAGCCTCTCTTGCACCCGCATATCGCCGTTGCGCACCTTTTTTTGAACTTGCATGCAACCAGTCGAAGTAGTTTGCCAGGTGCAGGAGGCTGGTTGAAAGTAAAGGGCTGTAGGCCATTACTTGTTTTCTTCCACCTGAACTTTCCCGGCTCTTCCCATGAAACTGGATACCCATCCATTGCTGCACTTGCACCTTAAGGCGCAGAAAATGTTGGTGTACTGCAGCTCTGGTTGAGGGGAGAGTGACTATATTTGAAGAATATTTATAAGCTGTAGTGTTATAAAATTTGTACCGCAGCTCATCCAGGGGCACCTGCTTGTTTCCACCGTACAAAACACCTATACATTTCTCACCAGCTGTGAAGGTGGTCTCAACATCAATGTTTTTGTAACCAAGTTTTAAGGACAACGAAGAAAGGCTGAGGTCGGGGTTATTATCCAAAATTTTCAGAGTTTTCACCTTTCCTTGGTTGAACAAGGCGGATGCGGTATCACAGCCACTCACAGCGTGCAACAAGAGGATGTGTTGAGACAACCTTTCATTTAATGTTGTGATTTGATAAAACCACTTAGAAAGGGCAATTCATCTTTCTGGTATGGAAATAATATCGCTGTGGTAACAATCAGTCTATCAGCGGATTCTGAGATTCTAGAATTGATTTTTGTTTTTTGATCAAGTTGAATTCATGTATTCAACAAAAATTCTGAGAAAGACCTGGGAAGGGCGACGAATGAGGATTTCTCCTACATATCTGAATTATCAGTATTATTTTCTCACAATAATTATAATTCTACATATTTTGAAATGCATAGCAGAAAGAATGTCAATATACTCAATGTTGAAATCTCGTTTAAATATGTACAAGATCATAAAAATTCGCGAAGCTATAATCCGCCCTAAAAAGATCATCACAAGGGTATGATAGATGAGATCACAAGGGCATGATAATAGATGACAGTGGGTTGAGTTGGTAAAAAAGTATATTAACTTGCGACCTACCACCACAATACGTAAACGCTTCCTGTTGACCTACCGCAATGTTTACTGCATCAACAGTCCTATTGGTATTAACACAATAGAAAAAATGCCAAGAATCAAAGAATCATTGCAGAATATCTTAAATTACCAAATCCTGGGATTTTTACATTACATTGTTTTCGGCGTTCTAGTGCGTCCCATTTAGAGAGGCGGTGATTTGGTCACTATAAAGCGCCATGGAGGATGGAAATCTTCAGCAGTTGCTGAGGGTTACATAGAAGATTCTGTGAAGAGAAAAATTGAGGTAGCTCAGCCTTCAACTTTTACAGCACATTCTGATGCCTCTACCGCACAGTCGCATTGCACAAACAAAGACCTGAATAATAAGACTAATGAGCACAATTTTGTGTCAACAGCAGCCCAACAAAACTTACCAGCAAATTTGATAATGAACGCTAAAGATACATCGAATGTTATATCTGAAGTACATATTAATTGTACTATTCAAATCAACAACAATTGATTAAATTTGATTATTAAAGTTTTTTGAGGATATTTTCCCTTCTTTCACAGCTTCCGCTTGGATTATTTGTTGCGTTCTGTCTCTAAGACTCTATTGTGTCTGAGAGTTTGACGTTGGCGATACCATTGCCGACATTATTACCTCTAGTTAAATGTATTCTTTTGTGAAAGGAAAATTCGAAATTCTACCCCTTCCACCCATAATAAGATATACATATAACTACTTAAAATGTAACAAATGTCATGAGTTTTGAAGTAATTTTTCCCTATCTCCCCTACACAAGAAAAGGGGAATGAGCACGTGTGCTCTGTCAGCTCAACGTGAAAGAGACCCACCTGACATAAAAATCACCTCGTTATTTATATAGTCATTTTTTATGTTTCTTGTATCTATTTGTTGGACTTTATTAGTTTCTATTTTAAGGGATCAGACTACACAACAAAATTGGCTTGCTTTTATTTCCTGAGGGGCAAATACCATTTAATACTCACTTCAGGTTCTCCAGATTGTAAGTTGGTCTGAATCAAGATTTTCCCAATTCTAATATCTTTGCAAACATCACAAACTGACTGTTCCATAGTTTCTCCAGCTCTTAATATTGATACACCACAAATTTTATTCGTTGCTGTTTTTTTACCTGCAAATACAAAATACTGTTTTTCTAACTTAATAAGATATACAAGGTATTTCAAGATGACGCTGCAAAATGATACATTTTCGAAAAATTTGGAGACGCGCTTCTTCCTATTCTATTTTTTTATGGCATCAAGAGAAATCAAAGAGTGATTAAACAATCGCCTGTTGCTGCTTTCTTACAAAGGTGATACTTCAAGGATGTGAAGGAAATTTGGTTTAATTGAGTTATCAAAATAAAAATCCTTGCGTGATCAAAAAAGATCTAGAGAAATTGATATTCCACCTGCTTGAATGACCTACAGGCAATTGAAAATGATGATGAACGATTTTCAAGGAGGAATATAAGCATTGGTCATATACGTAACTGATTTCATAATTTGACAGTCACATGAACGCTATAGCTCAAATATGGGTTGGGCGTCATCTCATTTCTCACTATAGCAAACAAATTTTGAACCATGTGGTACAATATATCGAAATTCAGATTCTTCAGAATATTATTAGCACATTTGGTTAACAACTCCCCTATAGATATCTGAATTTGCGTTTGGATATGGGGCACTGTTTTTAGGGTGAACAGTCTATAAATCTACTGTTTATATGTGCTGACAATTTGAAACACATGAGAATTGGAAAGTTGAATGATCAGGAAGTTGAAAATTGAAATGGTAAGTATTTGTTTTAGAGTAAATCGATGGTAAATATACCGGCTGACATAGGGTGATGTGACTAAATTGATTCATCGATGTGACACAAAAAATAGTTTTTCAAAAAAATCATGTGTGTTTAGTATATGAGACTCATTGTAATAGACCACATCTCATTTATCCATGAGGTAAAAATTACATTTAACATAAATATTGCAATTGTTTTGACCTGTGGAACTAGAATATGTAATAATATAAAGGCTGTTCCAATCGAAAAAACAAAGTTGCTGAAAATTACAAAAAAAAACGGAAGTGTGCCATATTGGATTGTATTGTCATCAAATCCGAAATGGTTTCTTACATAACTGTACCAAGGAAGAATTTAGAAGTTACAGGGGTGGCCCGATATCCTGTACCCGGTATAGGGTTACTCTTCCATTATTTTTCTATGTAAAGGTGGGAAGTTCTGAAGCAAAAGGATCAAACATTAAAATTTGTATTAAGCATAATAATATATGAAAGCATAGTTCAGAACAGTAGTTAGAAAACTGATAAAACATACTTGCTTTTATATGTATAGTAGCCATACTAAAAAGAAGTGAAAAATAATTAGATTGACGAACTAAGCAGAAGCAGAAAATGAATGGTAGTTTGAAGAACTAAACAGACACGCTTTTATAGGTAGCCAAACTAAAAAGACGTAGAAAATAAGAAAATAATAGTGTGTTGATGAATATTCGACTGAAAAAAATATTTTCTAGAAATAATGTATACATATGGCAAAAACTAGAGTGCCTCGAACACCTGATGACACGACCTTTAAAGAGTGTGGACAAGCTTGTCACCACTGATATTACCGAATAATTGTCATCATTTTCAGATTTGAAACGTCAGTTATGAAAATTGAATAGGCGTCCCTGCGAAATTTATTTTCGAATATGTCGTGTTCAGTAACGAATTGAAAAATTCTTAGAATGATGGTTACCTTTTATATTTGAGTTGCTCAAAGACGAGAAGACATTTCAAGTGTTCTTTAAAGCTTCAAATTCCAATATTCATTTCATGAAAATACATTCAATTAATTCAATTATGTAATATAGATATAACTATAAAAATAACATAATGTGCCGTTGGTGTTAAGCCACTGTTAAAGTTTCAAATAATATGTCTGAAAAATGACATTCCATAAACACATTTTTGTCTCATGTTTTTTGTCCAGCTGTAACATGACAAGTGTGTCCACACTCTTTGAAGGGCGTGAAATGAGATGTTCGAGGCACTCTAGCAAAACGACGTTTGCCGGGTGAGCTTACATAATACATAAGTTACTTCACTCTCGAAATTCCTTTCGATGCTTGGGTGCCTTAGAGATGAATAGTTTTTTATACAGGGTATTTCATTACTATTCGAAAATATTTCAACTATATAATCCTGAGCTCGAAATTTGAAGATTTAAACCAAACCACCTCTATAAAATGTGTCACCTGGCTGGGTTAGAGGTTTTTTTTTGAAAATTTAAAAAATATTCGTGTCTAGTAGATTGAAACTAATTGACGTATCATTGTCATATTTGACGGGAAGTGTGGATACTATACAACCTACTGTATTATATGATATCAACGTTTCTGGCTACTACCAGAGACGTTGGACAGGGGCAAGTAACTGGTTAATTCTTCCCAAAATCTAAGCCACCGGTGAAATTGTCATTCTATCACAATTTTTTGGTTCAGTAGATATCCTGATTGGATACTGAAAAATATTTTGACACTCATTTGTTAATATAATTACAAATATTATTATTAATCTCAAGTTTATCACATACACTTATAAATTGCATAATATTTCAGCATGCTCTGTTCAAATTCATTTGACAAAATGAAAGTAATAAATTTACAAAAAAGGACGATACTTTATCTGATTCAAATTCAATTCATACCTCTGCAATAACAGTTTGTTTATTACGTTTAATTTTTTTAGTAGTTTTGTATTTTTGTTGTTCATTTTTACTATTTGTTCCTTATATACTCAAATCTTATAAGTACATACCTATGTAACTGTATTTTGTGATATTTGTGAGTATTTTTAAATTGATAATTAGGAATAATATGATTTTTTTTTTATGAGAATGTTAGTTTTGTTTGTGTTCATTTTGTTGGAAATAGGTTACCTTTCTGTTTATTAAAAATTCATAATGTTTTGACGTCATAGTTTTATTTCATTATCCTTGCTTGGAATTTGTATAGCATAATAGAGATCTGAATTTTAGACAAGGTATTAACTGATAAAATAAAAATCGAACTGGCAACCCTGGTCCACGCGGAGAGTGATATGACAACTGTCATTTGCTGTTGTCAAATTAATTATTCACGAAATCCAATAGATTTCACGTGTTAATAGGACCGTGATGTGGATATAAGTGTATGAGGCCGAGGAAAAAATGTAATATGCACCTCGGAGAAAAACTGTCTATCGTCTCAACCGATTGCTAGCCTCGGCTATCAATTTGAAGATTCAACTATGATAGACAGTGTTTCGTCCTTGGTACATAAATAACTATTAACATAACTGAAGAAGGAACAAATATACAAAAATGAAGTTATCGCCACTGGCGGAAGAAATTTTTATCACATGACAAGTGATTGTGTACGTAATCAAAATATCAGTGAAAAATAAAATGAATTTTATATTCATATGAATATTTGGAAGATATGTACTATAATAACTTCAGTACCTACAATTACATGTAAAAAAAAATGTTGCAGCAAAAATTGTAGTAGCATTCCCCTGTTTCGAATTCAATTTCCGCTATCATCGACTCAATAAACTCCATTAAATTGGCAAAGTTTGAGGTTAGCCTAACGAGTAAGTAACTTAACTTTTCAAATTCATTGAACCATGAACCTGGAATTTGTTTGATTACATTTTCAAAATTCTACCCACTGCTTACTTACAGGTATGGATGATCGTATCATTGGAAGTCTTTTGTTACAAATTTTGAATGATTTATTTTGCACGAAATACGAAATTTGTACATACGATTGCTGTACTGATTCTAATTATGGTACTGAAAGGTGATTGATATCATTTGGAATTTCGACATTCAGCAAAACTGGATATTCCAAAAGGTACAGTGTCTGTCAATGCCAATGGCCCGGTCATGATTATCTAGCTTTCAGAACAATAATTCTAATAAAAGTGTTCACCATAATATCTGTTATTTGTGTTATGTGTATCCTTAGTAGTAGTAAAACTAGATATAACCAGTAGTCAACCTTAATCAAACACCAAAATAAAGCGAAAAAAATCTTACCGTGGTAAACCACTCCCTGAGGTGTATCCACTGTTTTATCAACGAATGACATCAACGACAAAGTATACTCTATGACTAGTCTAATTAAGCGTTTACTGTAGAAAATGAATTCATCCCTGGATGTCTCCTTATTTCTAATGAATGTGTGAAGGCCTCTGATTTGGGGGGTGGTAGGTAACAGTTTAATAGAATCAGGTCTGGGCTGTTTATTGGACGCGAATGCTTGGGCAAGTTCTTCTCTCAATTTTAGTCCACGCTGAAATAAAATTGGTGTAGCTATAGTCAAGTGGGAAGAATGGTGTAACTAAACGCTTGACAGATTTCAGATAACAGAAAAACAACTACTGAATATGGTTGAGGTGATTTACATTGTATGATGTACCATAACAGATTTTCACCGTTCGTTTTAACACGGAAAAATCTTCTAGTAAGTGAAAATACTATTTTTCTTTCTATGTAAGTGTTAGTCACCTGAACCATTATTTTCTAGGGAAATTTCAAGCGCAGTGACATTTTGGGGCGAATCATCTGATTTGACCATTCTACAGGTATATTGAAATAATACTCATTTGTATTTATAGAGACGAGAGAAGAAAATCCGAAAAATCTAGAGACATTTATAATCCACCTTCTTCATTAACCTACAGAGAGTATTTAGCCATTACTAGTAACTTACCAGCTGCAGTTGAGATTGGACATGCTGCACAATAAGTTGAATGGCCACTTCATTCTCACCTCCTCTAGGAACTATTATATCCGCATGACTCATGAGGGGTGCTATGTAATGATTGAAGGATGGTTGTACCATATTTATATACTGAAAAAAATATTTCATTGAAAAAATAGTTATTCATGTATCTAGTACGCAAAATACTATTTCGGTGATCGAGAATTGATTTTTTTTAACGAGGCGCAGCTGAGTTATAAAACCAGTCGAGATGACAAAAGTATTCCGCGCACGAGTTGCAAACAACATTTTTTCTAAAAACGTCAAAAATATAGTTCTAGAGTAGTGATAAACTTAGCTTGATATAAAAAATAGTGTTGAACTAGCTCGAAAGGCCTCTCCCTATCCTCCCTAGGTACGCACGATGTTCCACGAACATTATAGGAATTTCTTTCCGTGCGCTTCAAGAGATAAAAAAAATATTGTTAAACATTCAGAAATAAATGTGTATGTGTGCTCGATTGATGACCATAAAAAGTCCAAATACAAAAGTATCATATAGTTTACATAACAATGTGCGAAGTATGTACTTCGCGCACTGCTTCGCACATGGTGTCGTGGTAACGTAGGAAACTGAAAAAAAAGTGTCACTTCGTAATTTGTTATCAATGCGCGAACCTTGTCGTTTTTTGACGTTTGTAGAAGATAGTTATTTTTGTATTTCGCGCTCGAGATGCGAACAACATTTTTTCTACAAACAATACAGTTCTAAAGTAAAAATATGCTTGGCTTGATGTAAAACATAGTGTTGAACTGGCTTAAAAGGCCTCCCCCTATCCTCCCTAGGTACGCACGATATACCACGAACACAATAGGAATTTCCATTCGTGCGCTCCAAGAGATAAAACGAAGTTATAGTTGAACATTCAGAAATAAATGATTTCGTGGATGTTTGCAGTAGGTACTTCTTTAATCTTAACAAATAGTGTCGTAAGGATAAAATTACAGATAATTTAGAATAGGGACTTCCAGAAATATGGGGTGATTCATGACTGATCAGACATAGCTTAATGGCGGATTAGTAAAATGCATTTCTTGAATCACGAAGCGACAGAAGTACTGACAGATGAAAGATACACTAAGAACGGATTTTTCTCCATACCTTGAAAACTTGAAATGAAATGTTAATTTTTGAATAGAGTTGTTTATCCCAATTTGTTCATTAAGTTGACAAGAAAATCATGACAAATACTGACAAATTTGAAATGCATTTCAAGTGAAACCTTCGATCGAGTGTCGCATCATCATCTACTTGAGAAACTATCACGCTTTGGTATTTCTACAAATATTCAAATTATTCTCAAATCATATCTGGCTGGTCGTAGTCTATAATATTGAGTGCGATGGTATAAAATCTTCCTGCTTCACATCATCCAAGGAGCCCACCTTGGAACTTTACTCTTCTTGAGTTTTATAAATAATGATATCAATGATCATATTCAATCCCATAAACTCTTATTTGCTGATGATATGAACATTTACAGGGAAATTAAGGACGATATGGATTACAATGTTTTGCAGAAAGACCAACCTTCAATATTCACGATTTAGGCGAAGACGTGCGATAGCCGCATCAGTCTCTTGCGATGTTGCCATCCAAATGCCATATGTAACGATTCGATAAACGACCTGTATAAATTTTGTATAAAAGGTGAGTCAAAATTCATACTAGGTATTTTTTCAAGTTGTGGGATAATCTTTACCTAATTTTAGTAAAAAGTTATTCTTATCACAAGGCTTTTATAAACACAGCAGTATGTTTATAGTACTGACTAAACTAGAAGTAATTAATTTTTTTGTCTATCAAGACTTTTATATTTTGTTCTGTTCTACACAGTGCCAATGTTGATTTTTGGTAGCTTTGGTATTGTTGTGAATATAACCCAGTCAGCAGTTTTTGAATGGATCACCACAGGGTGATTATTGCAATTGTAGATTTTTAGAAGAGCTGATTTCATCAGCGAGAATTATCACAGAGATATAGGGTGTTCAAATTCGAGATTTTTCCGCTCTAGTTTTTTTTGGGTCGAAACTTATTGGTCAAAACGGTTAATATGTTCCTATCTTAACTTTTGATTTACTATCTACTGACATTTAATTGGAACAAATGATAGAGTGGTTTGATTCAGAATTCTGATCATCCTCTGTATCTGCTCCAATTCGCGGTAGTGAAGGTCATCATCTGACGTTGCGATGATGTTAAAATTGGGGGAAAACATGTCTAACTTCGACCTTGAAAACTGCGAATTAAATGTCAGTTTCTACTTAATGCCCAACCCTGTCTATAAAAATAAGAGCTTTTTTGTTATGAAATGAAATATAATGTATTGGCCCGTATAAGTTTGATTCTTTATGAAGAAGCTGGTATAGGTAGGTATAAGATAACTATCGAAATATCAATTTTTATCGATATGTTTGGACTCATCGATAATCGATGTGTGAAATCTAATATCGCATAGCCCTAACCCAGACACTCTTCACGGAGGTAAAATGGGGGGTCCTTTATGAAAAGGCAATAACGTTCATTATGAATTATTTCCGTTATTTATTGATTTATTAATTTGAACAAATTGTAGTCCGACTATGACCACAACTATGACCAAACAAAACGAATTTTGACGAAAGTGCATCCCATTTTGGTTGCGACTGCCAGGTTTTTCGGTTGTTATTGAAGATGAGGCCTTGCGGTTTTCACATTCTTGTCCAACATTTTCGTGAAAATCGAGATTACCACAACAGATTTTGAATAAGTGTTACTGTTTATAAGATACAGGGCGATTTTGAAAATGCATACTTATTGGAACCCTTCAACACGGTGTCCCTAAAAAGTCTATACAAAATCTTCATATTCATCACATATTCCTGAGGTAAAAGTAAGCCGATTCAGAGCTTCGGAGTAATGTATTTTCCATCAACTATAGTGTTCATTTGATAGAAATGGCCGAGGTAATATACAGGGTGGTTCAGGCTATATTATGGTTCATCAAAAAAAGAGTCGGCATGCATATTCTTTTTAAGTTTTGTGAGATACCTACATCCCTTTGAAGTCCAGTTTTATTAAACGTTTTCTTGCTATAATTCTTAGGACATAAATCAACATTTGGTGCAAATACTTATGAAATAGTGACTTGTTGTTTGACGCAACAACGTTTTATCATAATTGTCCAGTGGAGTATATACATGGGAGTTGATCCACACTTGCCGCCCTATTTACTAAACCACTGATCATTTTTCATAATTGAAATATTTTCCTACATTTTCTGTACAATTCAGAAAAGAAGGCAGTCTTGTGAAATTTTGATTTGGGGATCCGTTTACGACCTAATTGAATTAAAAAAAAACAGACCTCGCGAAAATTGGATATTTAGTTCAGTTGGTAAAATAGGAATCAATAATTCCAGAGATATGTAACTTATGGCCAGATATTTTAGTTTTGATAATACTATCATGACAACAAAATAGTGTATGGTTTAACGAGCACGGATTGATAGACATTCCCCACGAAAATGTTTACAGCATGAGCCGTAGGCGAATGCTGTTAATCATACGAGTGGGAAATAAGCATTCCGTGCGAGTTATAACCTTATTTTTCTTCGGCTGTAACAGATAACAGCGAAATTTATTATTTCTTCGGCTTGTAGCCATCTGAATTCTCTTAAGTAATACTCATCTATTAGACAGAGCTGTCATGGCTTAAAAATTGACATACCATAGATGAGATTTTGTGAATCGATAAGACAATGAAAGTCATCGTGATATCAGATACGGACATAAAATTGATTGCATACAAAGTACCTCACTGATTTATCTAACACAGTAAAACAAGATCAATTTTGTGTTATAGCTGTAGAAAAAAATATAATAGCACAAAGCTTATTGGCCCCCTCAGGGGCTCACGACTTGTGAGTACGGGAATGGCAATCCCGAGGTACCCTAGCCGGTTACTCATTAATCTTCAACTTGTCTTTGATGGTATCCTCTTCACTCTTCAGTTTCCAATCTTTTTCTTCATCGGCCCCCCTTGGTCACTTCTCCTCTTTTCCTTCTCCCCTAAAGCCCAACCTCACCATAGTGCGGGGAGGACAAGCCGCGGCTGCTCGGCAGATTGAGCATTTTGGGAACATCTTTGCTATCATCACTCAGATGGGACAGTTTTGTGGACATCTGAGTGCGAGGATGGGGCAATTTGTGAACATCTGCTTATGTGGCCGCGGGTTGATAACGAGGCTCTGGCGATCCCCTCAGGGGCTCACAACTTGTGAGTACGGGAATGGTGAACCCGAGGTACCCTAGCCGGATATTCACCAAACTTCAACTTGTCTTGGGTGATATCCTCTTCTCTCTTCCGTTTTCAATCTTTCTATCGGCCTTTCTTGGCCAACTTCTCTTTTCCTCTTCCCCTTCAAGCCCAACCTCACCATCAAGTGGTGTGGGGAAGGCAGGCCGCGGCCGCTTGGCGGATGAAGCATTTTGGGACCATCTTTGCTATCTTCTGCCAGATGGGACAATTTGTGGACATCTGTGGCAGGGATGGGGCGATTTGCTGATGTTTGTCTAGGTGGTCGAGGTCTGGTCAACGAGGCTCTGGCAACCTAATCCAAGCTGTGGGAACCCGTGGCGATGGATGGATGGCACCAAGGAATGGTGTCGCTAACGGGGCCTCTGGGAAACAGGGCGACATCCCAGAGTAAACAGCCTTAGCCCTGTGCAGGGGGCACCACAGGGCTGGACCAACCCCTTCCCCCGTCACTCGTAGGAGAAGGAAAACTTTTGGCCTTCTTCGTAGACGAGAACAGGGATCGGAAGAGCAATCTTCAGGAACCTGAACGAAAAGGGTCTTTCATATTGAAGTTTCCCTTAATAGGCACCATGAGTCGTATGTGGTAAAATTGATAACGGCATGTAGGTGAGATACAATGGGCCACTAGGCCTAAGTGTCGTCGAAGCCTACAACGGGGTGGAGTGTTTAGTGGGTATACCATGGAGGGGACTCCCACACTATCATATGGGGGATTGGACCCATATGATGTCTATAAAAGATTTCAACCACCTCGGCGAAAAAAAAAAAAAAAAAAAAAAAAAAAAAAAAA